AGTTGTCAAGAAACACAAAAGCCCGAATTCCTATTTTGTACAAATGGACAGCGGAGCAGTTTTCAGAAGAAACCGGTGCCAACTAAGACAATTTAAAATGGAAAAGAAAAAAGATTGAAATTGAAAAAAAAGGACATGTGACATGTGACATTTATTCTGTCTTAAATCAGATGATGTAATATTTATTATTATTATTGTTTGTTGTGTTTATGTTAGTTTTGGAGTTTTTATGGTGAGTTCTATTAAAAACCAGTGTTCAGTACCAATAAATAAATATAATTTATGAAGCTTTATCATTCCTTTAAGTTAGAATATGTCTTCCAAAAAATATTTTCTTTTTGAATAAAATCATATTACACTGAAATCACAGAAAAGTTTAACTACAAAAGATCCACCAATACGATTTTAATATAATGTTCTTCCAAAGGAAGAGATACCATATAACATACTAATAATAACTCTGATGACGTAGAGTATAGGAAATATTTTAATCATTGAATGATCAACCAAATTTGGCAACTAACGCAATTAATATCATTATTAATTTTACACCTATTACTCTTTAAACAGTGCTAAATGCTCAAAATATGTATATTTCACCCAATTTATCGCTGTTAGATGAATTAACGTAAGCCTTGAAAGTAACCGTCGATTTCGACTTGTTTCACCTAGTATGTTCTGATAGCTGTCAAAATGTCATGATGATTACATCAGTCCCGTGGAAAGGTTGATTGATACTGCATAAAAATTAGAAACTAACACACATAAACGTAGAACTAAATTTTTATAAATATAATTTTACTTTCATTTTTATAAGTATACTGGTTATGTTTCAATAAAAGCTCAAACTCGAGTATTTATAATTTTTGACTAGACGGCAGCCTCATTTTCTGTATGCAACTTAGGGCGGGTTTCCGAGCTCGGGAATACGTAATCCTGGAGTTACTTAATCAGTGAATATAGTTAGTCATCGAATAAAAAATCGGGTTTCAGAGCTCGCGAACTAACTCCCTAGTCCGCAGACTAGTCTATTCGACGACTAACTTTATTCGCCAACTTCTGGACTACTTATTCTAGGACTAAGGTAGGAATCACGGGGAATTTTAGTTTTTGAGTGGTGGTAGGGGCAGCGGACAGACGAATTTAAGACGATACCTGCCAAAGTTGTTCACGGTCAGCGCTCATAGCTACATTAGTGTCTACTCTCTAGTCTGGTTCTAATCACTTATCAGTTGGGATAATGATTCCTTGAGTTTCACTGAAGATGGTAACTAAAAGAAGATATCGTGTTCAAAAACGTATGCCGAAATAAAAAACCCAGTTATGTGAACCATCATTTACAAAAAAAAAACCTGAAGGTTTATTTATTGCTGTTAAGTTTGATAAAAAAAAAAACTTCCCGATTGAAAAATAAGGTGTCATATGTGTTAGCCTATGCCTTTACTTTGTCCAAGTTATTTTTTTATGAGAATCTAAAAACTGTAGGCATTTGAGATATTAGAGATTGGTTGCGACTTTTGTAATCCTAATGCAAACCCCAATAATTGTCTATTTAAGGTCTTACAATTATTTTGAAATGAATACTGTATGATGATAAAAAAATAAAGGGAAATATTTTATTATTCTTTGAATGCAAATCAACCGTAAAAATTATCATTATTACAACAATTTGTTGGTTTAACGCTCTAAGAGTAGGCATAGTTATAATTTATCTGCTTAGAATGTATTTGTGTTCTCTGATTGTTTTGTATTTTAACAATTCATCTGGAAGTACAATATGTAGTAGAGATTAAGTAGGTGTCCAAGCAACTTCAGTTAACTTCCAATCATCTGAGCTCCGGTTATCTGAGACTCCAGGTTATCCGAGTTAGCTCACGGCTGAAATATTTGTTATTTAACCAAATTCCAAATTATTATACTAGATATGAGTTTCAATTGAAAATAATACTAATACAGAAGTCTTTTTTCGTTAGGCATACTGTTAATTTTAGTTAAAAGTATTCCTTAGTAAAATACTGCATTACAGTAGACTATCCGGACTCCTCAGTGCCGAGGCCAGTCCGAATAACGGGGTTTCCGGTTAAACCAACGTCCCCAAAAACTCGTTAAAATGGACCATTTAAATGCATGTAAACCTATGTAACATTATGTACCGCGTATTAAATACGTATTTAGATTTGATAGGCCCTATATTATTTTTTTCATACAGTTAAGTTTTTCTTTCTGTCTTCGTTATATTATTATTTTAAAATCTACGTTTAGTACCTTATAATATTAATTTTAGGGACCGTTTGGCCTATTATAGTCTTGAGCATAAATTGTAGATAAACGGGTTTCATTCAAAGATGATTTTGCATACTTAAGAGAAAAATAAAATTTTAAGGAAAAATATCAAGAGGAATGAAATTGCCAGTAAATTTTATGCCGATTAAGAATTTGACATTTATATAGATACAACTTCACAAATTGAGTACTTACGCCAAAAGTTAAGTTAGTCCGCCCCTTAATCCTGCCCTCCACCTGGACTAAAAATTGCTCATATTTATTCCTCGAGTTAGTCTTCTTGCCCAGTTGTGGATTATATATTTGGCTCCGAAACCCGATCGAATAACATTTAATTCGAGGATTAAGTAGCCCGTGACTCCGAAACCCATGAGAGTAATTCAGGGACTATGTAACTCTCGGAATAGACTTAGTCGTTGACTAGCGTAATCCTGGAGCTCCGAAACCCGATTTTTTAGTCCTAGAATAAAAACTGGTTTGAACTGGATTTTAGTCCAGGAATAGCGTTAGTCCCGAGCTCCGAAACCGGCCCTTAATGTGGCTAGTTCAATAAAGTTAAAGTTTTGACAACGCAATAATTTATATTGGGGTTTACCTTTTCAATGGAGAGCTTAGCATTGTATACATTTTATTTACAACAAAAATTTGTAATCACAATTAGTGGAGTCTTTGACGAATAATTGTAAATTTAAAATTACCATGTTATTCTTATGAAGAATAAAAAAAATCTGTTATACTGTATTTTGCTTGCTTATGAATATACTTTGGTCAAATTTGGAAATGCTTTTATTTTATACTAAACTATTCAAAAAATAACTTTAACTCTCCCTGTTGCAGCAAACCTAAGTACAGTAGCCTACTTGTCAAACTAATGATATTTAAATAGGGAATAAATGTGATCATTTTAAGGAGATATTCTAGTGTAATGGAATAAGGCAAATGGAAATTCGATTAGTCTGCAGGTTTGCTACGGAGGGGGTAAATACCACTACTTTACACTCTTTACAACGCATCTACGGACCCACAAAGATGTTATGTGACGCGCCGCGTGTTGTAGCTGCTACAACGCTAGATCGTGTAGTGCCTACATACCGAACCACGGTAATCTCTGCAGCGACATCTGGCGGAGACTGTACCGTTGGACTTTGTGAAACGCTCTGTTTATTTGATATTTTAACATTGGACTTTGTGAAATTTGGACAGTGTAAAAAGGTGGTTATTTGAATGTTATAGTTTTGGACTTTATGAAATTTGGACCTTGTGAAAAGCTTTGTTATTTGATATTTTAACGTTGCACTTTATGAAATTTGGACCTTGTGAAACGCTCTGTTTATTAATATTTCAACCGTTGGACTTTGTGAAATTTGGACTTTATGAACCTCACCCTTCAAGACATGTTTTTGTAGTTATAAAAACAAAAAGCAAAGTTTCATTATGATTAAGAAAATAAAATAATTCGGAGAAGAAATGCCAACAAAATTTGGGGCCAAACGGGAGTGGTGCAGCGAGTTACTTTCTGCAAAATATCAACATGTACGACTGCGCTCTAGCGGTCATGCTCCAAACTAGCGTAATGATATACATCTTACTTCAGTTGCTAGTGTAGCGGTACTGGGCTCATAGGATCGATTTGAGGCTCGATTAAGTCAGAGATTTCTTGTGCGTGCTATCATTCTAAGTCCTAATATGTTATTTAACTAAAATTAAATAACTGAGCCAAGCCACACCTATATCACAGCCATTTTGATGATCTAAATTTAGTAATGCATTCTACCAATTAAACTAATAAATAAGAATAAGCTAAAAAACTCCTTTCGCGCCTTATGGGCCCGAAAGGTACTGATAACTCAGTTTACATAATATAAATATTTAATTAATGATAGAATCCCTAACCCCTTAGTCCCCCCCCCCCCCCCCGTACTGAAAAGAATTAGAACATGATATTTAAATAACTAATGATTTAGCTTAATACTATAACTTATCGATTTCATTCCCGTTCCTTGACGATGTGAACACTCCGGGGACTCGAGGCAACGACTGACCTCCTTCTACCCCTTCCCTACTCCCTCCAGTGTTCGCGACTCAAGCGGATTGAACCGGTTGATAGCAGCGCTGCTGTGAAGGGTTACACGGTTTGTTTGCATTGTAAAAAAAGTAATTTGATCTGAACGAAGGTGCTAAAATGCCTTTATACAATATGGTCATTGAGTGAAATTCTGATGACATTTACTTTACCTTAACAACTCCCAAACAATTTTAACCACACACTTTACGTTATGAAACTTTACGTTGTGAAACGAACACGCCCTGTTTATGCTCTAGCGTTATCAAAAGTCTTATACTCAGTGGTTTCCTATCAATTATAAAAAATATGGTGGTAATGCTTGAATTATATTTTCTAAACTAATGCCCTGTGCTGGCTGTAAGCTTGTTCAACTAATAATACTGCTAGAAATATATATACACAGTGGACAAACATTAAATGATTTCAATGGTTAGTTGCATAAATTTTACTATGTCTGCCCAACTACGGCGCCGCTTCTATTTATATGTGGATGACTTACCGGAGAGGAGTGCGGTGGAAGTAAGAACTTAAGGCCGTACTAGGTTTCAACAGTTGCTGTTTTGAATACATATATTTTGGGTTATTTTGGCAATTTTTGCGTATAAATGTGACAGCTATTAATATGGAATGTATGTGAACTAATTATACTCACAAATGTTGTCGTTGACCACGACCGTATCCGAGAGGCTGTTGGGAGTTCCGGTTAAATCTGCCTCTGTTGTTTAACCTGAAACATTACAACTTGATAATATGTCTGATTTTGATAAAATTTAGCATGAAAGTGGGGGGCTGGAAAAACAAGATCGGGTAATGGGAATGGGGTATTAATTTAGTAAATTGGTTTATTAACCCTCCAAAGGTCCATAGTTTAGGCCTTAATGTCCACCTATTTTTGGCCCCTTTGCAAGGTTTTATTAAAACGGATCTGAGAAGCTTAAAACAATGTTAATTCTAATGTTCTATATACCATTTTGTTTGGAAAATCATGGGCTTCAATATTATATATAAAACATAAAGAACATTTAAAAAAAAAAATTTTTTAGGTAAAAAAAAATATAATTTCGAAAATTTTCAAAAAAAAAATAAGTTCGCGCTCAATGAAATTGTATATATTATAGGCCTATAAATATTTGAAAATAGCCACTTTGTTCTAAATTTAATGAGGATTACAAATATATAATCATATAGCGAGGTAAGTTATCAAATAAATAAGTTATGAGCGAAAAACGGATTTCAGTACATAGCGTTTAGCTAAGAATGCATAGCCTAACCATAGCTAGGAATCTGGCTGATAATTTACATCAATATCACTACCTACTTCTTCAGGATCATCAACCAGCACTTCAAAACCACTTAAATCTTCTTATAATGCACCACGTATATCACTACTTTTGATTTTTAACACTAAAACAATGATAAACATAATAAAACACATCAGTCATCGGTCCGAGGTTAAGTAACCTGTTTACTAATATGCACGTCAGCTGTCTGCTACAATTATGATCGGCTCAGAGAACAAACAGCGCTTAGAGACAGACCTTTAGAAAGCTTAGAATCTAATGAAAAGAACGATACCTAACTCGATCCAGTTCAATCCGATTCAGTCAGTCATAGAGCCTTCGCCGTAAACGATGTTTGTGCGTCTAAAAATAGTGTGTAGCGTGACACTACACAAAGTGTGTTATGCGTCTATTTTTAGAAGCGTGACCTTCGGAGGGTTAAAATGTTTACCCTTAAAACATGAAAATAGCTAATTATCATTACAGCCATGTAGTTGCTGCCACCCGACACTGGTTATCAAGTACCAGAGTTCCTGAGTGATAGTTGCTGGGATTTCTTGTGTATCATACAAATGCTTAGTGAGCCACTGGTTCGTGATACAGCTACAGTAACTCCAGTCTATCGGCATTTACTGAGGTTTAGAGTGATGTGTTTTTGTGCACCCAAGTAGTGCATTTTTAAATACCTTTGTTTATTATATCTTTGTTGTTTCCAATGGTCAGTGTTCATTGGTGGAGGTTCCTCATTCCTCCATGTTTGAGGCTGATCCTGTGTTGTCTGGGCTTGTTCATCCCACTCTTTATTCACATCTGATATAGCTTCTTCAGCCTAAGGCATTACAAAATTATCAGTACACTCAAATCACTAACTAGAAATTAAACTGTAAATAAAGGAATTCTGAGAGGGGGGGGGGGGTACTTTTTAAAAATAATTTAAGAACTGGAAAGGACCCAATCAGAATATTTTAGGACTTTAGACAATGGACCCAAATTATCTTTAAAATCTGTTGGCAAACATTTACAATAATTTGAAAATGATTTGAGGAATTTGGGGGTTTCAAGGTAAGTTAAATAGTTTTAATTCTAATTTTTTTAGTATTTATTGTAGGTATTAAAACGCGAGACTGACTCTTCTAAAAGGGATATATACTTTTACAAACTCAAGAAAACATAGTACAAAAAGAACTTAAATTTTAATCAGACATAACGATTTAAGACCAACTATAACAATCAATAAAAAAGAAAACACTAATTGCAAATGTAAACAAAAACATGTGATGGATTAATTAATATAAATAATCATCTAGATACAGTCCATTTACAACATAGATGAATTAATTAATATAAATAATCATCTAGATACAGTCCATTTCCAACAGTAGGGGATGCGGTACAGAAAATTTAAGGTCAGTATGGTACATTATTTTTACAAGGTTGTCAGCAGAAACTATAAATGAAATTCACACATTTTTCCCGGTTTTCCTGACTAAAAAGTACAAAATTCCCGGCGACTAATATAGGCTACAGTACTTATAAAAAAGCCCAATTGTTGTAAAAACAAATTAAAACAACAGCTATTAGTAAATAAATAAAAACCCAAATATGTTTATTAGCGCTTAAGGCAAATTAACTCTTAATAGCCTATTCACTCGACAAACATTGCAAATTAAGGTTAAAAATTAACATTAACAAATTTAAAATTTTGCAGAATAAACTTGTAGGCCTACTACTGAGTTGGGCCTCCTCAAGCTGTTTTGAACTGCGGAACGTTACTATTTTTGCGTTATATTTGCCAATAGCAACTATTTTTGCGTTATATTTGCCGATAGTTACTATTTTTGCGTTATATTTGCCAATAGCAACTATTTTTGTGTTATATTTGCCAATAGTTACTATTTTTGCGTTATATTTGCCGATAGTTACTTATAATTAACTTTGAACCAGTAAAATAACCAATAATTATTGCAATTAAAAGTTATGTATTTTCCTAAATTAACATAAATGTAGTACTTTGAAACAAAATTTGTGGTAGAAAATGGTTTCCTCAGGCCTACTGAAGCAGTTTTTAACATTAAGTTTTCCCGTTATATTTGGTGAAAAAATTAAAAAATTCAAATTTGTTTAATAATTTTCCAAAGCAGAGGCCTAGCATGTTTACAAGAATTTTTACAGACAATATAAGATAAGCAAAATGTAGGCAATTTATTTCCCTACGTGGAAATGTGATTGATATGCATGAACAATTTTTTTACTAGAATTACGGGAAAAGATACGGAAATTGGGGAAAATCAACAATGTTGCGCTGTACATTTGAAAAATAAAAGTATAATCAGAAGTATACAATTTATATACTAAAATTGTTATGTTTATAGGCCTAAAGGTAACAATACATTTATCCATAATAATGTCATATTGTACAAAGTAATAACTTTTTTATGACTTTACAAGTTATGACTTGATAAACAAAATTTTAGTTTTGCCAAAAACAAAAATTAGTTATTCAAAGTTAGATCTAATTTTTGTACTTTCCTATACTGTAAATAAATAAATACAGAAATAAATAGATAAATAGTACATGTATTTATAAGGAATATATTTCTGAATCATTATTGTGTCGTGAGACAGATACGGATTGTAGGCTAGGCTAGGATTTAGGCCTAGGCTATGGGCCTAACCCATAAACAATCACTATTTCAATAACACAAATTCGGACATAAATAATAATAATTACCCAGAGTAAATAAGGATAAATACTACTACTAACTTATACACCACCTGACAATACACTTCTTTTACACTAAAACACTAATATCTGATGAAATTTAGCATAGATAATAATGTAGCCGCCCTGAAAACCTTACTTTGATTCCGGCGAGCAGAACGCAAACAACTTGTTTATCTCGCTACAACTAATGTCACCTGAATCTATATACTGAAAGGCACCAAAACATAGAAATAGAACGTTTTCTTAGCTTCAAATAGGTACGACTCTCATCACTCTATGTCAATTATCGACACACTTCCTAACGTCGTATGACAAAAATAAAGAACTCAAGCTCTTTCCAATGGTACCAACCACTTCCTGTTTAAGCCAAAATGAAGACTAGATTTTTTTCAAGAAAACAGGTTTTACAAGATTTTGTCGATCGCGGCTCAAAAATGTTACGCGCACTAAATATTGTTCAAATTATAATAGCAGTTATATTGATCTGTTATTGCTACTAGGTTCATTTATATATGAAAATAAAAGTTCAGAATCTCCTCTTTCAAACGGTATCAAAATTATTACGCGTCTGGATCATTTTCATTACGTAATAAACGTTAACAAGCGCATACATGAAACGGAACATATATGGTGCATACATACGGAAGGCAGTCCTTGGGTTAGAGAAAAAATGCCAAGAATAAAAACGTTTTTAAATTGCATTTACTTTAAACAAAATTATAAAATATAGGGTCTTCCATAAAAAAAATCAAAGTTGGTGGCCATATTGGAAAAATTGCGGCTAAATTAGTTTTTCAACTTAAACAAAAATTGTTAGGCCTAAATAAGAAATCCAAGTCAGTTACCGTTTAAATTTTTTTATCTCTTATAACTTCCGAATAAAACATCTGGCGCTCATAAATATCAATCACCCTGTAGGGTTATGCTTGATGTGTTTATGCTTGATTACAAATGCAAGATAACTGATATTTTAAAACCAATAGACATTGAAATGGAAATTTTAATGATGAATCAACATAAGATTGATTAATAATAAATAACCAATCAATCATAGATCCTAAAGTTCAACTTATTTTATACAAAATTTTAACTGACCTTTGTTGCTTCTTTTTCGCGGTCCATTTCATCACTCCAGTTTTCACTTTTGTGATTAGGCTTACTTTCGTTTAATGATTCCTAAAAGAATAAACATTATTTATCAAAAGTTAAGTTTCGTTTAATGATTCCTAAAAGAATAAACATTATTTATCAAAAGTTAAGTTGAAACTATGTCTACATGAATGTCTTTGAAAAACTTGCCTGACCTTCTAAGACTCTCTTGGCTCTTTACAACATCATTTAACTTAAGACAAGATAAGGCACAAGAGGCTCAGCTCTAAGATAAACAACTTAAAGATAACACTACAATGTTATCTGTTTCACAGCTGACTCATATAACTACTTTACTCATTAGGATAACAGCCAGCAAGCAAAACCCAACCAAATGCCATTCAAGATCTGAATAGCCTAATTGGATGACACTTTTGCAAAAGTGTATGGACATTTAAATAGAAAATTAAAATGTCTTATGTTTGAGTATTGACTTTTAGATAGCCTAGGAAAGCAAACATACCATTCATAAAAACCACCTGTCTTTTTATATATATTTTTTTTTATATAAAATATTAAAATAGAACTGAATGAGCCTCTCACAGAGTGAGTTATTTTCAAAATGCTTTTTTCTCTCTTTATTATAGCAAAATTCCCATATATATGTATATATACATATGTACATATATATATATATATACTAGCACACACCCAGCGTGCATTGCAGCGCTAACAACTATTATTTTAAATGGTAATTTGTTCTTTACAATTTATATCTTTATATTTATTAGGTGTATGAATATAAAAGTTTTTACTTTGATAAAGGTTTTTACTTTTTATGTTTACATATTTAATACAGTAGGGGAGAATTTAAATGTTTTTGAGTGCACAGGTGTGCTGCGATTGGGGTTTAATATATTTGGTCTTATCTAAAAGTAAAATAGTTTTCTGTGCTGCATTCTGTGGAAATATTGTGGCACTATTCCAAATCATGACTAATACAGAATGTTGTGATTATTCAATTCCGATATTATTCTTATGGAGAACAAGATAACTGATATAGGCTAGTTTGCTTGTTTTTGAATATATTTTGATAAAATTTGGAAAATGCATTTATTTCTTACTAAACTATTTACATTTTATTTTACAAAAAACACATTTTTACCCTCCCTGTTGCAGCAAACCTAAGTACTCGTTAAACTAATTAAATTCTATTTAAACGGGGAACAAAAATGTGATATATTTAAACAAAGAGACATTTTAGTGTAAATCCAATCAGGCAAATTAATGGAAATTTGCTTAGTCAGCAGGTTTGCTGCGGTGGGGGTATTTTACTATTCTTGACCATCAAAACATAATATTTTTCAGTTTCTTTAAAAACCATTTAGGTCTATAGAGCGTAAAAGTAGAGTAGAGCTTACGATGAAACAAAATAAACAATTATTGTAGATTTTCCAAAAGCCAAAAGGTTTTTATAATTCATAGTAGGTTAAAACTTTAGAGAAAAATATATATTTAGTTAAAAACTTAAATACGTCTTTCAAAGTAAATTAGTCAGTAATCAATCCCATTCTGAGACTTCTTATCACTCTCAATAGTAAACATAATCTGATTTTGATATACAGATTGGAGCTAACAATAGTGGGACTATATATATATTTTTTAACAAATGCACTTATACTTTGAAAGCTAGGAACAGATAATTTGACTGTTGAAATACACACTAAAATTTTAATATACAGTAATTATAAAAGGCTGAAATCCTTTACTCCCACCTAATACTCCTGGTGCAGGTCAGGGTAGCTAGGGGTAAGATAATTAACTAGGGGCTACTGAACTATTAACATATAACTAAAATCACTCTATATTACCTTCCCTGCAACATCAGCTACCTACGTACTCGTTAAACTGAATGGTTTTTTTTTTATAAATCTGATATTTTCAAAGAGATTCGGTGAAAATATTATCAGGCAAAAGGAAATTCACTTAGTCTGCAGGTTTGCTGTGGCAGGGGTAATTAATTGCCTCTTGGTGACCCTACAGTTTTCATAATTATATAGGTCTCATCCAGTCCCCATTATGTCAATTTTGTGAGACTGATTGTACAAACTGATCAACGACTTACCAAATGCTTAGTCTCAGTTTCAGGTACACTTGATGTTTCTTCAAAAATATCCTCTTCCACCTGAGTTGAAGCTTCAACCTCAGTTACTTTGGCTGGAGTTTCAGTATCTTCCTCAGAAACCTATAAAAACATCCCACTGTTGTTTCAGACCATAACTAACACTATGAAAAACTACTTGCTAGTAATACCCTAATTAACTTTTAAAGTAAGAACAGATATACCCAACACAAGATGAGCTTCTCACCTTTCAGAATGACACAGACAACACATAAAAAGTACACAAAACACAACACTAAAACGAGTCCATCCCATACAAAGTTAGCCAATTTTTCCTTTCACGACCTCAACCACACACTTTACATAGAGCCCTACTATCGGGTCAAAAAGTATAGATACTCGAGTTTGAGCTTTAATTGCAACGTAACCAGTAGACGTAGAAAAATACAAGTTACATCATAATTTTAAGAATTTATTTCTGCGTTTATGTGTGTTGGTTTCAAATTTTTTATGCAGTTTCAACTCAGCCTTTCAGCCGGTTGAATGAAAAAAGTACAGGGTTTTCGGCGCTTTACCAACAACGGGCGACTTCAACACTTTATAACAAACAAACTACTTATCTAATCGTCATGAAACTTTTATAGCTTTTAGAACATATACTTATAAAGCATATTTTTAAGTTTTAGAATTTTTTGTCAATAAAAAAAATTCTGTTATTGTTTTTGTAAAGGCATTTTATTTCAGGGACGGAACAAGTTAGAAACTCCGATGAAAGCTTAAAATAAAGCCCTTAATAAGATACAAATGAAAAGTTGAGTTGCACACTAGCTAAGTGGCCTTTAATAATTAAAATGGACGTATAATCAAAGCTGTTCTTAAACGCAATAGTGCGTGAAATTTATACCGCTATCGATCCGCAGGCAGGGAGTTCTCCCTGACCGAGACCGGTTTTGGCAGCACAAAACAACAACATTTTTCTACGTCTACTGGTTACGTTGCAATAAAAGCTCAAACTCGAGTATCTATACTTTTTGACCCGACAGTAATACTCTGTAACTTTCAATAATCCAGCACCGGTCTAATCATCTGAAAACATCTATGAATGCTGTTTTGGCCATATTACCATGATTCACAGAGTTGGGAGTGATCGTAAGATGTGAAGAGTGAACAGCAAATATCAGTTGCACTCAATTGAATTCAGGGGCATTTAAATTTCATTTTATATCTTTAGCTTTATATATACTGTTACCCACTGTATACAGGATGAATTTTAAATGAGTTCCCCCCATACTTTTTTCTACATTTCTTAAGATATCAACTCCGGACCACGTCAAATCATAGTAGAGTAGTAAGTACTTCATCTTGACTGGGTAACAGTTTTTGGCCGCCATCTTGGATCCGCCATATTGGATACAAAGTTATTTTTTCAAATGTAAAGGTGGGGTTGTGACCCATCGTTTCAAAACAATATTTTTACGCTGAATACAATGCTGCATTTCGTTTAAAAAATCTTGATCCATTCTAAAGTTATGATAACTTTGTATAATTTAATTTTTAACCCATTTTAACATTGTGCATTTACAAACTAAGGCCATAATGTCAAAATGGTGCTAGATAAAGATAAGTACACATCACCATTCATTGTCAATCCATTTTACTTGGTTATGATGGATATATTTGTTTCGGCCGCCATCTTGGATCCGCCATTTTGAAATGTGATAAATTATTTTGAATATAAAGGTGATATTGTGACCCATCATTTTGAACGGTCGGATCCAAGATGGCGGCGGAAACAAATACATCCATCATAACCAAGTAGAAAAAGGACAACGATGAATGGTGATGTATACTTATCTTTATCTTGCACCATTTTGAGATTATGGCCTTAGTTTGTAAATGCACTTGTCAAATGGGTTAAAAATTAAGCTATAAAAAGTTCTCATAACTTTAGAATGGATCAAGATTTTTTTTAAACGGATTGCAGCATCGTATTCAGCGTAAAAATGTTGTTTGAAACGATGGGTCACAACACTGCCTTTAAATTTGAAAAAATAACTTTGTACCAATATGGTGGCCAACAACTGTTACCCAGTTAAAATGAAGTACTTACTACTCTACAATGATCTGACGTGGTCCGGAGTTGATATCTTAAGAAATGTAGAAAAAAGTAGGGGGGGAACTCATTTAAAACTCACCCTGTATACTGTTATGTTATACTGTGCTGTTACCCACAGGCTTCACCCCGTTTGACATCATAAGTATTATTAAAACTATTGATTGGTTAAGCTAACCTGAAATAAACAAAATACAGTAAAAGAAACAAATAATCCCACCTGATTTTAATAAGGTAATAAATTGAAAGAATAACAAACAAATAAGTACAGCTGAGGTATTTTTAACATTAGGTATAATATGAAAAGTTCCCTTTAGAAAGGAATTACGACCTTAAAGGGCAATTTATGAAATAATGGATAGTTTTGCACAAGGTTTCTCGTCATGACAAACATTTTAAGTATATGGTTTATGGGGGTGTGAGGTGTGACTTATAGTTTTCTCAAAAGTTTATGGGTACTTTTGGCTTTATATATAAATCTACTAAAGTACCGTAAGAGGAAGTGCTAAAAAAAACACAAAACACAGAACACTAAATAAAACACAGAATAATGGCCTGTTGACCAATGATTATCTTTAGCAGTTTAATGTTAGCTGTATTTTTGCTTGTCTTGCAATAACGGCTGTTCATTAATTCAGCATTTTCAATAATCCGTCACCACCATATTACCAAACGAGCCAAATTAGCAAGTGTACATTGTAAATATTTGTATAGTAAGCACTACTGGCATCGTGTAAACCCGGCTTAAGGTCAGTGATACATCTTTTTACAGCAAGAAACATCCAAAATCCTTTCACAGCCATTTCACTATAAAAACGTCCATGACGAAGAATGCTCAGGCCGACCATGACAGTGCTTTGGCTTTAAAATTTATGGCAGACATTGAGTGCTGCCATACTATAAATTGTAGCTTTGATAGAGGGGTGGACATAACCATTTTTTATCTCTTATTTATTTTTCATTTTTTAGTAAAGGTTGAATCAACATTTTATCTCCTTCTTTCTTGTGAAAATGAAAGACCCATTTTAGGGGGAATTGTGTTTTTGGTGGGAACCCAGACTTCTCACAGAAGATAGCAAAAAAAAAGGTAAAAGTGTGTTTTAGTTTTTTGTATGCTTAACGAGAAAGAAGGGAATTATGAGTCAAACTTCATGGCCGGCCTGAGCGTTCTTCATCGTGGGCATTATTACAGCCATTTTTTTACTCCTTAACCCATTGCCGCACTTCAACCTCGCTCATTGCATTAGGCCATAAACTTCAGGCATCAGGCGATGAATGTCCGCATCTGATGTTTCTTGCAGTAAAAACTGTATCACTGATCTTATCTCAAATGAGGCAGGAGAGAAAAAAAAAGATAAACATTTTCTAGAAGCGTATCTACACAGCGAAATGTTGACTTCAGTTACAGAGCTGCAAATGGTGTGATTCTGTTCACAAATGATGTCAATAAGCACAGAGCCACATTGTTGCGTCTTAAAGCCCTTAAACAACCCAAACAACTCTTATAATTATGGCTGACAATCACCGCTATTGCCGACGCTGCAAGATGTGCTCGCGGGTGTTGCTACAATCACGGTGACGATTATCGGTGCCAACGAGACCCCAAAATATGAAGAACTTTTGTCTGTTCCGACCATAGCCCGGTACTGTCATAGATAAATATGAAGGGTTCTACTGTAGGCTTACATAGCCAGCTTTCCAATCATTCACTTTTGATAAATGGTCTTGGCAAAATCCAATACAGTAGAACCTTGTTAATCTGAACTAATTGGGACCAGGGGTATTTCGGACTATTGAATAGTTCGGATTACAGAGCATATTGTTGTTTTTACATAATAATAGCTAAAATACGACTAAAATTGATCAACATTATTTTGGGAAAAGTGAACAAATGTTTTATAAAGTAAAATACAGTGTTTATTTAATACAGTAGTAAACATGGTGAATAAACAGTACTGTAAATTAAATACAGTATACAATAAAGAACTGCTGTACAGTGTATAGAGTACAGCAATGAGGGGTTCGGATTAGTGGATGTTCGGATTACGGGGGTTCGGATTAAAGAGGTTCTACTGTAAATCCAATTATCTTAGTCAGCAACACTATTTCGCAGATCATCACATACCGTCTTCTCACTAGGTCGCAGCCACCGTGTCAAAGCCAGGTGTCAGCCACTAGATATGTAAAATTTTACTAGATATTTATAGTCTTATGGAGCCCTTCACCCTAGCAGGTCGCAGCAACCAACGTTGGTGGCAGCAAGTCGCTAAAGAACTGCTTAGCTGGTCGGTGGCTGCCACCGAGCTATTTCAGTGACTCAACTCGTAGCGAGCCATCGTAATATACCTGGACTTTCACATTAGGTGGCGTCAACCTAGCTCTCGGGGGTGAGCGTGCAGCTTGTTTTGTCGTCTGACTGGCTTCCCTGTACACCCATCTGTCACTGATATTCACTTGTACTTTCTTGGTTCACTGCTGTTTGTTTTGAGTTTCAACATTATTTATATTGATTTGTTTTGTTTAAATTTTATTGCTTGTAAGCGATATGGGTGAAGATGCCAATCAATTTGTGGATAGTATTAAATGTTTTTTATTAGGTAAGCCTAAATCAATTTGTGGATAGTATTAAATGTTTTTTATTAGGTAAGCCTAAATCAATTTGTGGATAGTATTAAATGTTTTTTATTAGGTAAGCCATTTTAGGCCTAATCTATTGCTTAGCCAAAGAAAAAAGGTAAAGTCTCCACCGAGGAAAAGAGCAAGAAATTCAATTCCATCTTGACGAATGAATCATAAGACACAAAACAGAAGGTCGCAGCCACCATGTGTGAAGGGACAAGCGTGGCTGCCACCCAGTGGCTGAGACCCTAGTGAGAAGGCGGTCTCACTCCATACTACACTCAACTTGCATTAATATTCAGCTTATAATACATCTAGGAGGTTGTCTGTCTCAAAGTAATGACAATGAAATAATGATGCAAAATTATTACTTACCCCTTTAGCTGAGACCACTGGAACATCAATTGCTGCCATTGCTGTAGTTATGGGACTGAATTCAGCTGCGTTGGGGGACAGCTTCTTTGGAGAGGATTTTAAGCCTTCGTCACTTTCAGGTACTAATACTTCAGGTATTTTATCTACTTCCTCCATTGGTGGTTGCAGCAGTATATTTACATTATCCTGAGTCTCTGTCGTCCTCAGTTCCGCTGTAGGTTCAAGCCGGGATTTGAAGGTGTCAATTTCTCGGATTAAATCAGCAATTTTTATTTTTAAACACTGGTTTTCTTTTGTCAGCACCTCAATTGTTCCATCTCGATTGTTAAGTTCCGATTCCCACAATGCGTTCCTATGACCGCATTTCGAACAAATGCTAACAGCGTCTTTACTGTTAAACTGGAATTTCCGGGAGGGTTGAGGCTCGCTGGGCAGCCCCAGTGGCTGTGGTTGTTGCTGCTGTTGCATCATAGTATTTGCATGCCACATCTGCTGTGTATCCATAAACACTGGCCGAGGTACATACATTTGTGGGTATGGGACATACCCCGCCTGTTGAGGGGTACCGGTACCACCCATCATTTCGGGTGTTGGAATATTACCACTCATATACTGAGGATAATCATTGTTGTAAATAGTAGCTTCAGTAGGCTGGTAGGCAGGGCTATAGCTCATATCCCCAGGAGGCATATGAGTCCAATTAGATTGGCTCATCACTGGGGGGGGTCCAAACCTCTGTAAGGGCTGGAGTTGAACTTGTCTTGTCTGGTTGTTCGGGGGGGTTTGAGGTGGTCCTGGAATATAAGTTCAAGGTGATGAGACGCATTTAACTCCAAATATATAAATCCTAACTTTTGTAGCCTCTTTTAAGCGAATATCCCTATAGGGAAGTAGCCATTACCATAGGTGGCACAGTAAAACATAGGCCCGGGAACGATTTACTTTTTCATTTTGATGTCCCTAGAGGCCAAAAACACCATTTGATCAAATTTGTATATGTGTATAGGACCGTGTTCAAAAAAGATGGGGACATAATTTAGGTAGTAAGTTGATTCCTTGGGTCAAAATAAAGAGAAAATCAAGAATAACATTGTTCCCAAACTCGCTTTGTTAACCAGATTAGATATCCACCATTTTAAATTGTTTAGATAAAAATTTTTATCTTTGAAATTTTTCAACCCATCTTTATGAAACTTGGTATGTACTATGTTAAGGTAGAAGAGACCCATATTAAAAACATCATCAAGATTGAACAAGAAATACCTTAAATATTATAATTTTTTGTTGTAAAATGGGACAAACCTGACTAGCTTCTGCCTTATTCTATCCCATTTTACAACTAAAAATCGTAATATTTCAACTATTTCTTTTTCGATCTTTTTGAACTTGGTATATTTTGTTTCTCCTACCTTAAAAAATACATAAGGTACCAAGTTTCATAAAGATGGGTTGAAAAAATTCAAACATAAAAATGTTTATGTTAAAAATACAAAAAGGCAAATATCTGCGGTTACAAAGCGATTTTGGAAAAAATGTTATTCTTGATTTTCCCTTTATTTTTATCCAAGGAATCACTACGTAAATTATGTCCCCAACTTTTTTGAACTCCCTGTATATACGGTATATTGTATATATATAAATAGGATAATATGTGTCTGTGAACACACAATTACTTGAGTAATTTTTGTCCGACTTAGATGAAATTTGGTTTTAAGGTATAAGATGGGATTAACTTGAATGAGTTCGCTTACCAGTATGATCGGACCATGGGAACAGTGTTTTACGGGGGATTTTATGGGGTAAAAATCTGTTTTTCTCATTTTTGACCCTCAAAGCACAAAACTTCCCAATTTCTCTGAAGACCTTTTTCAAGAGCTTAAAAAACAAATCATTTAGTATATCAAAGTGCTTTTGTACAATTATTGGTAACAGAGAAAATAAAAAAAAATCGCAATTTGTAAATTTCCATGTTATTCTTATATAGAGAATATTGTAAAATATTGTAGTTTGCTTGTTTATGGATATATTTTGATCAATCTTGGCACATTTATTTATCACTAAACTGACTTATTAATATTTTACTAAAAAACACTCTTTAATAGTTTCCTTGAAGCAGGAAACCTAGGTACTCGTTAAACCTAATGTTATTTCAATTTAATTGAAAATCAATTCAGACAAATGGAAATCGCTTAAGGCCAAGTCACATCTAGTTCGCTACTGCGGCAGGAGCGAATTTTGAAAAATCGCTCACACCAAAATGTGCCAAGTCACACCGCACTACCATGCACCCGCGGTAGTGTCCGTCATACCCATTTGCTGAGCGATTTTTGGAGACTACCGCTACGGGAGTTTTGTCTAGCGCAAACGCAAAGGTGAATACGAATGGCCAATCTATTTTCAGTAATACAGTTTGAAATTTAATTTAACATGTTTCTTTTGTTTGATGATGTATGTTGTTTTGTATTATCGCTTCACTACTATGTAATAAATTGTTTTTGTAATATGTTAATCACCAGAAAAAATCATGATTGTTCACCATGAAAAAATAATGTTTATGGTGTAAATTTAATGTTTCCTATTAGTTTTTTTTATATTTATGACGTAAACAAACAATTTTTTATTGTTTCATCAACTGTTTCAATTTTCAACAACCAAAACTGTACAATCAATGTAAACATGAACTTTTAATAGAAAGCTTGGCTAAAAATTGCAATTAGTTTTAAAATGTTTGAAAGTTTTTATTTAAAAAGTAGGCCTAATTAGTCTTTGTAGTGTAGCAAAAATAACATTCAAAACGCTGAAAGTGGATAATTTATCCTCAACCATATTTAAAATGCTAGCACTACGTACATAAGGTCTAAATAAAAAAAAATAATTACAGTTATTTTCTAATGTACAAAAACAAATTAATAAACATTCAATTGCTTCTTTAACACTTTACTACACTTAAAATACCCCCGCCGCAGCAATCCTGCCGACTAAGCGAATTTCCATGTGTCTGAATTGATTTTCAGTTAAATATATTTTAATAACATTATGTTTAACGAGTACCTAGGTTTGCTGCTACAAGGAAACTAACAAAGTGTGTTTTTGAGTAAAATATTGATAGCTTAGTACAAAAAAATTTGCCAAGTTTGATCAAAATATATCCATAAACAAGCAAACTACAACATTTGACCATATTCTCCATAAGAATAACATGGGAATTTTAAATTTACATTTTTTTTTATTTTCTCCGTTACTAACAATCGAACAAAAATACTTTTATATACTAAATTATTTGTTTTTTTAAGCTCTTTAAAAAGGTCTAAAGAGAAATTGGGAAATTTTGTGTTTTGAGGGTCAAAAGTGAGAAAAACCAATTTTTACCCCATAAAACCCCCCGTAAAGCCCCGTTCCCATGGTCCGATCGTGCTGATTCGCGAACTCATTCAAGTTTATCCCGCTTTACACCTTTAAACCAAATTTCATCAAAATCGGACAAAAATTACTCAAGTTATCGCGTTCACGGACGTATATATATATATATATATATAAGTCTATATATATATATATATATATATATAAATTTGAACGAATGGTGTTTTTGGCCTCTGGGGACATCAAAATGAAAAAGTAAATCGGTCCCGGGTCTAGGTCTTACTGTGCCACCTACGGTAATAGCTACTTCCCTATAGGGAAATTCGCTTAAAAAAAAAAAAAAAAAAACAGAAAATGTACAAGATATACGTTTTTTTATGTAAAACTAATTGAAATGAAATCACCTCAAAACTCCTGCCGCGGACGCAGTACTTTTGGTGTGACATGGCTCAAGGTAAAACGTCCGCGTGCAGTACTCCCGCGGCGTATGTCGGGGTGGCATGGCCTTAAGTCTAGCTAATAAATATCTTGGTTGTCTGCAGTTTCAAAGTTTTATTCTGCTGTTACATATGTTTTAGTTTGTATGCCATTATCAAAACCTTTTATTCAGGAATATTAGCCTATAGACCTAGGCCTAACGTATATATCCTGCCCCTGACTATGCTATGTCAGCTTTCGAGATTGATAGGCCTATCACTGACACTAATTCATTGTTATTATGATAGGTATCAACCAAGCTAATACGGATGTTCCCAAGGAAAGGTGTTTGATAGTGGCAAACTAGCCAAAACAAATGTAACACCAGTTCAACAGTAGGGTGGTACGAAAAAATCAAGTTGTGAAATTTAAGTTGCGGATACCGTACGGAAAAGTTGCAATTGGTACATGGAGGAAAACAAAAAGATTTGGAAATCAGAGTTCATCTTCCAATTGCACAATCGGCCAAAATTTGTTTGTACTTTACTTTAATATAAATTATTTATCTTCACGGATTGCTGTATTTTTTTAATAGCTTAAGGGTGTTACTTTCTCTGGTTTAGTCTTTTTCTGTATATTTTTTGGTACCTATTTTACTCTGTGCGTGGACTTAGATTAAGAGCTTCTCTGTATTTTAATTTGCTTTTTAAATTATTGGACATGATTGATCTTTATTATAGTGTATTGTGGCTCTAATACAACCGTCTCTCGATCGGAACACCTACAGCGAAGTTTCGGTGATGAGCTTCTTGCAACTTACAACAGCTTGTGTAAGGCAGGGACATTTATTTATATCCCAATCTGGAATTTATCCACTCTGAATCAAGGATAAAATTTCGTCATCTGGTAAATTCAGAAAAGTGGGGAAAAACACCCTTGTGTTAGGCCTACTCTAATCGATTAAGTCTAAGTAGTCGGATGCATTGAAGTTTAAAGTAGGGGCTACGAAGTTCCTGACAGTTTTATTCTGAGTAAGCTACGTGTCTGTCTTCCTTTTAAGACTCTCCGGAGCCCCAACTCTCGTATGCTTTCTATTATCAAATATAAGGGCAACCAAAATAATTTTGGTGTAAGCTGAAACGAGTTATTTTTAATTACTGGATGCACTTCTGTGTACAAGTCGCCACACAAATAGCGAAAGGTTTGGATTATTCTGTAAACGTGAAGACGTCCATCTTGTATGTAGGCTACTTACTGCACTTTAGCTCAAACGAAACTCGCATGTATGATCTTAAAATACATGAGACGGTTACATCAGAGCCACATAACGTTATAATCTTGGAGATCAATCATGTTCATTAATTTTGAAGCAATTAAAAATACAGAGTAGCCTCCTAATCTAAGTCCAAGTACAGAATAAATAGGTAAAACAAAATATGCAAAAGACTAAACCAAAAAAGTATCAGAGTTGCAGCATGTAAATATTAAACATGTAATTACTGGTCGGAAGTGTAGCTTCCTGCAATGGTGAGTTTTGGGTTGTTTTGATATTGATATTATCTAATCCATCAAGGAGCTGCACAATTGGCTTGCAAACTCAAAAGAAACAAATGTTACGCCTCACATGATTTTTCCAAACATATGAAATGTGTCCAAAAATCCCGACTTTTACTTTAAAATGTTCAAGGAATTGCACGTTTGGAAAAAATACTCCAAGAATATAAATAATTTACATTACAGTTTTCACAGCTCAAAATAAAATAAAATTGCTATAAGAACTAAAAAGTTACAAAGAAATCATTTCTTTTAATTTTTTACTAATTTTTGCAAATTTTTGGCTGATTGTGCATTGGAAGATGAACTACAATTAGAAACATTTTTTTCGTTTTCTTCTATGTACCAATTGCAACTTTTCCGCACTATAGCATCTTTAATTTCACAACTGGATTTTTTTCGCACCGTCCTAATCAACAGTTTGAAATAGACCAAGGTATCCTTTCTTACTCCAAACACATAACAAAAGGTTCAACATCACAAAAGTGCAAAATTTCACATAAAAGTAGGTCTAATAACAGAAACAACCATGCACATACAGAAAGTTACAATAAAAATGTTAACCAGCCCATGCAAACAGAGCATTAATTTAACCTGAAGCAAGCAATTCTTTCTCATAAACACAATGATTAACAAATTTACACAACAAAAACAACATTTTGAACGAGGCATGAGGATACATACTTTCAACTCAAACAAAAATAGCATTGAATGAATCGTACAAACTTTGGTTTAGAGAACCGGTAGATAAATATCTACATAAATTAATATACTTGTCTTGTAAAAAGAATTAATGCCTTTAGGCTTTAAGGAATTTTTACAAGTAAACTTACGCTGACGAATTTGAGAGAAAGAGGGCCCCCTCATTCCAGGTGGCCCCCTATGCATCTTCTTGGATAAACCTGAAAATTAAAGTTTTGATGGAATGATTGTGATAAAGATTTTGACAATAGATAGGACTATTATAATCTTGAAGAAAGATTTTCTCCTCAAAATAACAATATATACTAATCAAGTACTTTCTTTTAATCTATATCAATTTGGATTGGATTCGTTCAAGGCTACCATGATTTTCAATGAAAGATAGCTGAAATTATAAATAAAAACCAACACAACACAAAGAATGATATATAGTGATACATTCCGAATGATTAGTTAACAATTGATTAAAGGAAAACAAAGCAAAGAAAAACACTTGTTCACAGCTTGTGTTGGAGAAATATCAGTAAGTGGTTCATAAAAACATGGGTGTGTTCTTAACCTTGAAACTATTGACAAAATAATATTCAAACCAACAATTTCTTCAGAACTCAAACTTGTTGAATTCTTCCACAAGCGAGTCATACATATAATAAAGTGATTTAGTGGTGTGCCTAGGCCCATTAAAATTAAGCAGTACCTACGGTACAATTTAGATTTGTTTCCTATCAACAGGGGTGTATTTCAACAGTTTTTACAGTAGGTTTAAAGAACCGTGTTATTATCCTCTGCATTCCCATCCCGTTGGGAAGCACGGGCAGAGCAAAGTAGTAATTTTAAAAACACTCCCGGTAAATTGTAAATTTTATCAGTTTAAATGTAGGCCTATTATGAGCAAAACCAAACGAGTGTTTCTCTGGTCACCAAAATGTTTCTGGCCTTAATAATAAAAGATCAGAAATAATTTGAAATTCATTTTTAATGAACACATGCACATTCACTAAAACTCATTTCAACAAGTGTAAACATTGAAATATAATCATCTGTTAATAGGCAGGATTAAAGTAAAGTTATGACAAATAACTCCACCAATGGTATTGACGGAACTAACAAGATAACTTCCATCTCAGTTTACACTAAATAAACCCATAATTTACACCAGAAAGACACAGACTAGACACTAATTATTAATAAGCAAAAGCCTGCTGTCTGATAACGATTACAAGGACTGTTGAGAGAGTCTAAACAGTTTGTGTCAGCAGATTAGTCACAGTTCTAGGAGAGGCCAGCCACACCCAGCTAGCTGCTAGCTCAGCACTACGTCTTCACCTGCTGCCACTCTTAACTACTGTTGTACACAGTTTTTAGGTCTTGTAAAGTTTATTAGTATATTGGTTTCCCAATACTTTTCAGAAATTGATTTTATGATTTTTTTTGTTACAAATTTTAATGGAAAACACAAGCGGTAATGGGAAAGCAGACCAAAACAAAACACATGAATGGTCTGTGGATTTGCAAGGGACCAAACCTGTTGTTGATCTCACAATTTTGAGATACTAACCACAAGATGCTAAACAACAGTACACAGTCAATACAGATTCTTAGTAATTTGATGTAAATCACTTTTGATAATTTGGATAGTTCTAAATAAAACTCTGTAGAGAATCTATTGATGGTTTTAATGTTAACCATTTTTTTTATACACTCGTATTTCAAAATCCAAGCAGAGGGCAGGCCGATTTGGAACATGCAGTAATTCAAAGTTTCGTCGGCTGAACTACACTATGATTCAAAGGGAGGGAGGAGAATTTAATTGAATTGTCTGGTTGGCAAAGTTTGCTCGATGAAAAAGCTACAAAGCCCAGGTCAACCATGTTAGGGTGGTAACAGTGTCTTGACAATAACATTGGCATGCGCCTCTACTCACTTTAAGTACTTCGAACACTAGCGCCAAGCCAGCGACCAGCACAGAGACAGCTTTGGTACCACTTGACAACCCCCTACAGCCTACTCTAATGTAGTAACCAAGTTGAAGCCTAATTTTTAAAAATAGTTTAAATTTACTAAAAATAGTTTAATTTTACTAATTTACTAACAATGAAATTCAATTGAAAATCTCTTGAGATTTGTTTTTATAAATTCAAAAATAATGTTTATTTATAGACATACCTAAAAAATACTTATTTCCCCTTGACCTTGAACTCCAACTCCACTCCACTTGTGTCCATTGAACCGGGCCTACCCAGCCTATTGGGAAATCTGGCCCTGCTCACTGATAGTTAAAAATTGTGAACCATACCTACATTTTTAAAAACGCTCCAAAGAAATCTGTTCTGCCAGAAATTGCTGCGCCCCTCAAAATTTGGTGTTTTAGTTTAGACCAGTGCCTAGTTGGCCTAGTGGTAAATCCAGCCCTGCTATTAAGTATCTAGGACAATACATTTGATGATGCTGATATCAAACTAAGAGAACTGTTCATAAATATAAGTAGGTAGGTTTTCAAACCTAAAATCAGCCCCGTATTTATAGGAAAAATCCCTACAGACGGAGAAGGACTATTACTTTACGGTAGGTACTCTAATATGACAAGGAACTAATTTATTTTTAAATCGTATAAACAACAACAGTTTAAAAGTACCTAGTATTTCAGAAAAAAAACTATTTAATGAGTTTTATAAAGAGTTTATAGCCTAGTGGTTTTTGAGGTCCGTATTAGGCCTACAGGAGAGAGCAAATGCAGAGATTTTATCTCCTAAAGAGCAAATTATAGGTCAAATTTAGAATAATAAAAAAGCAATTTTTTACAATAAAATCATTAAGTATGCAGCATGATTATATTTTTAGATATTTGTAGAAATACCTACATAAAAATGTTATACGTTAAGTAAAAAAATTGCAATGAGGACATTAACTCACGTAAGAAATAAAACATATACACCTAGATAAGTTAGGGCACAAGGGGTACAGAACCTCTGCAACTTATCACACTCAATAACTTGCATCTCAGATTGAACCTAGGGGAGGGTGGCTGTGAACATTGTTTTGGGAAAATCCAAAAATGTAGTTCCAGAATTGAAGGCTACTGCAGTTTTATTCCCAATGGGAATTTCATCAGACTTCGAACAACATCAAATTTCATTCCAGAGGAAGTTGTCATGGTAAAAATCCATCATTCCCGGTACCGAGTTTTTGTAATGTAGTTTTATTTAGGTAGCCCATTTAAGTTATTTTATTAAAAATTTTCTTTTTGCCTACAAAATGAGTAGGCCTATCTATTCTATATATAATTCAGTTTTACAAATCTTTGTACAACTAAATCTAGAGTTCTACTGGACCGTTTTTATTAATTAATGGGTCGTTGGAAAGCTTAGGTCGTGTAGATTTGCAAATAGTTATGAAAGTTTGTTTTTGTTATGATGTATATGGTGAAAAATTAAAAAAAAAAACATGTTTTCCATAAGAAATACATTGAAAACAGTGTTTTTCACACTTTTTATTTGGGTGCGACTTTTAGCTGCCATTTTTTAATATTTACAAGAAGTGCATGGTATCAATTTGTAGGAGATTTTATTCTCATTCAGAATATCACTTTCCACTTTGGTCGATTTCCTCACCATTTAAAAGTTATTTGCAAAAAAGCTAAGCAACCTCTGAATTTATAGTAGGCCTAATGAGAAAATGTTGAGTTTGGGATATTTTTGTTAAACTTTGTACAACTAAATATAGACTTCTACTAGACCGATTTGGTTAATTAATGGGTCATTAGAAAGCCTAACTCACGTAGATTTGCAAATAATTATAAAATTGTGATTTTATTAAATTTGTGGTAAAAAAGTCAAAATAACATAATACATTAAATTTTCAAGTTTCCGTTTTCAAGATTCTTTTTTTAGCCAGCTTTTGGCTGCCTTTATTAAGTATTTTCAAGAAATGCATAGAAGTTATTTGTAGTAGCCTAAGTTTTATTCTCTTTCAGAATATCACATTCACTTTGGTCGATTTCCCCTCCATTTAAAAGATATTGGCAATAATTTAAGTGATCTCCAAATTTATAGTGGTGAGAAAATGCTGAATTGAATTAGATATATTTTTGTTAAACTTTGTACAACTAAATCTAGACTTCTACCAGACTGATTTTGTTACTTAATGGGTCGTTGGAAAGCCTAATTTGTGTAGATTTGCAAATAATTATGAAAGTTTGATTTTATTAGATATTTGAGGTGAAAAAAATACAAATAAAAAATAATACATTTAAAACTCCTTTTTTCCAAGTTTATATTTTCAATTTTATATTTGTAGCCAACTTTAGGCTGCCTTTATTGAGTATTTTCAAGAAATACATAATAGCAATTTGTAGGAAATTTTATTCTCTTTCATAATATCACCTTCCACTTTGGTCGATTTCCTCGCCATTTCCAAGGTATTTGCAAAAACGTTAAGCAACCTCCAAATTTATAGTAGTGAGAAAATACTGAATTAAAGATGTTGTTAAGCTTTTTACAATTAAATCTACAGTTCTACAGGGCTAGCCTATGTAGCTATACTTTAAGGTTCTAAGTTATTAACCGATACGTTAGGCTGAGAACGTTTTAACAAAAGACCAGTAGCCTACCTATTTCAAATTGGTAAGTTACTGTACACCTTTTCTTAACTTACTTGTCCCTTCATGATTCACATCTAAATTAATATCAAATACCCCCGCCGCAGCAAACCTGCCGACTAAGCAAATTTATATTTGTCTGCATTAATTTTCAATTAAATTTAATTACAGTACACGGTACACTAGGTTTCATGAGTAGCCTACCGAGGCTTGCTGCTACAGGGAGAGTAAAAAGTATGTTTTTTAGTAAAATATTTAAACAACTTAAGTTTAGGCTATAAGGGGTAGCGGATTTCTACCCCCGGATATTTACCCCCATGAAAAAACGCCTACGTCATTTTGACATCACGAGGGGCGGGGCCTATACATTGTCGAGAAACAGCCCGCGACTGGAAATTCTCCCGGACATCTACCCCCCGGACATCTACCCCCCGGACATCTACCCCCCGGACATCTACCCCCCGGACATCTACCCCCCGGACATCTACGCACGGAAATCTACCCCCGTGGTACTTATGAAACTTGTAATAGATGTCGATAGTTGTGAGCGAAACTGATAAGTTAAATTGATGAAATAGTTGTATTTTGTATAATATCTATACA